GATGTTAGGTGTGTTGTAGGCCAGATGTCTGTCTGTTTGGATCCTGAAGTCCCACAGGATCTTGACTTGTTCATTTTCAAGAAATTTGTCAATTTGGTGTTTCCAGTATTTTTTGCTGCATTCAACCCCAAATTTCTGGCAAAGCTTCCAATGTATGATTTTGGCAATTTGATCATGATGTTGTAAATAGTCTGTGAGATTTTGCTGCAGCCACTGATAAGGTGATTCATCTTTCATGTACAAGCAACATTTGCTGTTGTTGCTGACATGTAGAATTTTTGGTTTCATGGACTTGCTCTGCAGGACTTGTTTTTGAGCAGCCAAAATGAAGCCTTCAGTTTCTTCCTTTAGCACTCCTGATTGCAACCAGTTCCATGTTAGCTTTGTATCTATCTTTCCTTCAATGTTCTTCAGGTACTGACTGTGCATAGGCTTCTTTTTCCAGTTAAAAACCTGATGTTCTGTTGTTTCTTTTCAATTGTCTGCTTTCAATCTTATTGTTTTCAAGAGGTTTCCCTTGTTCACCTCCTTCAGCAGAGGCTCTTTTGCTTTTTTTATGTAGTCATTTAAGCAGTGTTTTTTTCTCTTCCACGGTTTGTTTCATTTGTAAGAGACCTCTATCACTCTGAGATCTTGGTAAGTACAATCAATCAGCATCACTTTTTGGGTGCAGAGCATGGTGCATTGTCATTAGTTTTCTTGTCTTTCGATCCTAGTTATCAAGTTTTAGCTTAGTCCAATCAATTATTCCAGATTATGATTAATGATAATGATGATTTATTAATTATTATTATTGATTATAACACAGTCAGCCAGATGTCCAGAGTGGGTATGGCATCTTTGTCTACCTATCTTGTCCTTACCAGCAATCTGGTATAGGCAGATGATATTGTTGTTGTTTGTTTGTTTATGATTATTATTATGATTATTATTATTGATTTAGTCTTCAATTTGACTCACATTCTGGGACTAATAAAAATTTAACAGTTCAAGTCCGAACCAAAGACCTAAGAGCTGTTAAGGTAGCATCTGAGTACATAGGCAGTTCCAAGTAGGCTGGTTTTTTGCAAAGTCAGAATATTCAGGTCTGCTAAGTTCAACCTTTCCATGTATCTAGGCAACCTTTTGGGTATTGCTCCAAGGGTTCCTATTACCATTGATACAACCATTGATTTCTTCCTCCACAATCACTCAACCTCAATTTGCAGATTGCGATATTTTTTCTAGTTGTTTCTCTTCAATTCGTGCATCACCTGGTACTGCAATATCAATTACTTTTTTCTTTTCTACAATAGTGATTTCAGGCATGCAGAGTATGGTGCATTGTCATTAGTTTTTTTGTCTTTCGATCCAAGTTATCAAGTTCTAGCTGAGTCCAATCAATTATTCCAGCTGAGTATTGTATTGCAAGCACTGCCCAGGTGTTAATTGCCTTTATGATATTTTCTCCACTCAGCTTTGAACTCAAAATTTTCCATACTCGCTTTATGTATTTTGTTGAAGTAGTTTCCTTGAGTTGACTGTGCAACAGGTCAGAAGCTTCCAAAACTCCTAAGTACTTGTACCCCTCTTCTGTTGTTACTGCTTTTATCAGCCATTCATTATTAAGTTTGAATCTATCATCTTCAACCATTTTTCCTGCCTTAACAGCAATTGTTGCACATTTGTCAATGCCAAATTGCATTTCAATCTCTCTGCTAAACTCCTCTGTGCTTTTCAGCAGTGAGCACTTCAGGTTTTGTTTTTCCAGTTTTAAATCATCCATGTAGAGCAAATTGGAAATTTTCAACCCATTTTTAGCCAATTCATAGCCACAGTTTGCTTTCTTCAAAATGCTTGTTAGTGGCAACATCGAAAATACGATAACAGAGTTGACATTGAGTTGCCTTTGGAAGATTCCTCGTTTAATTTCAACTTCACCAAGTTGTTTTCCACAGGCTTAGTTTGCCATAGCTACATTGAAGCCTTTAGGAATTTATGGATGTTGCTGTTAATTCCAAAAATATCTAAGAATTTCTCAATCCAGTTGTGTGTGGCAGAATCAAATGCTTTCTTATAATCAATACAGGTCTTGAACAAATTCGTTAATCTTTTCTTTGACTTCCTCAAAACCAGTTTATTGATCATAAGTTGTTGTTGTTGCTGTTGTTGTTATTATTATTACATTATTTATTTAATCTTCAATTTGACTCACTGTGGATCTGATAAAAACTTAACAGTTCAAGTCCTAACCAAGAACCTAAAAGCTGTTAAGTCTGAATATGTAGGCAGTTCCGAGTTAAGGTGGTTTTCAGAAATATTTAGAGCTGAATATTTTCAGAATATTCAGGGCTGATAAATTGAACATTTCCATGTATCTAGGCAACCCTTTGAGTATTGCTCCAAGAGCTCCTATTACTATTGGTACAAATATTGATTTTTTCCTGCATAGTCACTCAACTTCAATTTGCAAATCACAATATTTTGTTACTTTTTTCTAGCTGTTTCTCTTCAATTCGTGCATCACCTGGTATTGTAATATTAATGAACCATACTTTTTTCTTTTCTACAATAGTGATGTCATGTATGTTGTGGACCAGATGTCTGCTGTTTGATTTCGAAAGTCGCACAAGATCTTGACTTGTTCATCATCATCATCATCATCATCATCATCATCATCATCATCATTATGGTTAATCTTTGGTGAGATTCACAGCCTTTTGAGGCCGGTTAATAGCTCAGCAGCTCGAGTCCTAACCAAGGACTTAGGAACTGTTAAGGTATCGTTGGAGGATGTAAGCTGTTCTGAGTAAGGTGGTTTTTTGTAGAATCAAAATGTTCAAGTCCGTTAAATTTAGAATTTCTAAATAGTGAGATAGCCCTTTGAATATTGCTCCAAGGGCTCCAATTACAATCGGGACAACACACAATTTCTTTTTCCACAGTCGCTCAACTTCAATTTGCAAGTCCCAATACTTTGTGATTTTTTCTTGCTGCTTATCTTCAATCCGTGCATCACCAGATATTGCAATGTCAATGAACCATACTTTTTTCTTTTCAACTATTGTTATGTCAGATGTGTTGTGGACCAAGTGCCTGTCAGTCTGAATCCTGAAGTCCCACAAGATCTTGAGTTTCTCATTCTCTAAAACTTTCTCAACGTGATGTTCCCAGTGGTTTTTGCCACTTCTGGCACAATTTCTAGTGAATGATCTTAGCAACGAGGTCATGGCGTTGTAGATAGTTCGTGAAATTTTGCTGCATCCACTGATCAGGTGGTCGACTGTCTCATCTTTCTCATTACAGAGGCGGCACTTGCTGTTGGTGGTAACATGTTGAATTTTTGCCTTCATGCGGTTTGTGGCTAGGGCTTGTTCTTGAGCTGCCAAAATAAAGCCTTCTGTTTTTGTTTTCTTTTTCTTCTTCTTCTTCTTCTTCTTCTTCTTCTTCTTCTTCTTCTTCTTCTTCTTCTTCTTCTTCTTCTTCTTCTTCTTCTTCTTATTATTATTATTATTATTATTATTATTATTATTCTCTTTTATTCATTAAAAATGAAACTCAGTCAACTGGACATTTAAAAATGTGTCACAAATACCATTGCTGCCAGCATCCTAGGTATCAACCAAGTATCTTCTTAAAATATATGATGTTCCGAGTAGCGCATTTTTTTGTAGTTCCACTGGTGTTATTGCAGGAAGCTGCAATTTCTTGTTTTGTGAAATTCTTGGACATGGTACCAAGTGCCCTGATGACAATGGGTATCACTGAGACATGTTTCAGCCATAGCCGTGTAGTTTCTAAGGCCAGGTTGCGGTATTTCATGATTTTTTCCAGTTCTTTTTCTTCGACTCTGGTGTCTCCTGGTACCGCAATGTCAATAAATTGTACATTTCGGTTTTCGACAACTGTGATATCTGGTGTGTTGTGTTCCAAGTGACAATCCGTCTGTATCCAAAAATCTTCACCTTCTCATTTTCTATAACTTTTTCCACTTTATGTTCCCATGACATTTTGGATACAGGTAAGTCGTATTTTTTACATAATGACCAGTGGATTAATTTAGCAACTCGGTTGTGTCTAGCTTTGTAATCAGTTTGTACGATTTTGCTGCATTCACATATTAAATGTGAAACAGTTTCACATTTGTTGTTGCAAAGTCGGCAGTTTGGATTGTCAGTGGATTTTTGTATCTTCACTTTCATGGCATTAGTTTGTAGTGCTTGTTCTTGAGCAGCCAGTATTAAATTTTTTATCAGGTCCGCCTGATTCGCCAGTTGCGCCCCTTTCTGGATCAGGACTCGTTAAACACGGTCGCTCATGCCCTCGTTACTTCCCGCTTGGACTACTGCAATGCTCTCTACATGGGGCTCCCCTTGAGGAGCACCCGGAGGCTCCAGCTGGTCCAGAATGCAGCCGCGCGGGTGGTTATGGGAGCGACGTGGCACTCCCATGTGACCCCCCTCCTGCACGAGCTGCACTGGCTCCCGGTGGTCTTCCGGGTGCGCTTCAAGGTTTTGGTTACCACCTTTAGAGCGCTCCATGGCATCGGACCGGGGTATTTACGAGACCGCCTTCTGCTACCAACAGCCTCTCACCGACCAGTACGCTCCCATAGAGAGGGGCTCCTCAGGGTGCCGTCGGCCAAACAGTGTTGACTGGCGGCCCTTCTCTGTGGGGGCACCTACCATCTGGAACGAGCTCCCCCCAGAGATACGGAAGATCCCGGACCTGCGCACGTTTCGCCGTGCTCTCAAAACCTTTCTATTTCAGCAAACTGGCCTGGCCTAACTCCCCTCTTTTAAATTTTTTAAATTTTTTAATTCGTGACTTTATAAATTGGGTGTTTTAATCTGTGTTTCGGCCAAAATATTTAATAATTTTAAGGGATTTTTAATATTTGTATTATCTGTATTTTATCTTGTCTGTTCACCGCCCTGAGTCCTTCGGGAGTAGGGCGGTATAGAAATTTGATTAAATAAATAAATAATAAATAAATAAATAAATCTTCCATTTCTTTCATGATGGTTCCCATCTTAAGCCATGCCCATATAAAGTTGCCATTACATTTTCCTTCAATGTTTTCAAGTGCTGTCCATGCAAAACTTTGGTTTTCCACCTATTTAATCAGTCATCCAGCTGTTTTTCCTTATATTCTGCTTTTGTTTCTGTTGTTTTTATAATGTTCTCCGTTTTCACAGCCTGCAGCAATTTTTCTGTACTTTGGTTCACATAATCATTCAAACTTCATTTTTCTTCTTCTACAGTTTGATGGATTTGCAATAGTCCTCTGCCGCCTATTTTCTTGGCAGGTACAACCTGTCGATATCACTTCGTGGATGTAAAGCGTGGTACATATTGAAAAGTTTGTGCATTTTCTGGTCCAGGTTTTCCAGTTTAGCCAAAGTCCAGTTGATGATTCCAGCTGAGTAGCATATCAGTGGAACTACCCATGTTTTAATGTCTCTAATTATGTTTCCAGCATTCAGTTTTGATTTTAATAATTTGCGGACCCTCCTGAGATATTCCTTTTGTATTGACTTTTCTATTCAAGATGTTATCTGCTTCCAATATAACTAGGTATTTGTAACCATCATCCTTTGCTAATGCTTTTACTATGTTTCCATTTCCCAGTTCTATTCCTTCTATTTTTTTTCATTTTGCCTTCCTACATGGATAATATAGCACATTTTTCAAGTGCAAAGTTCATTTTGATGAACTGCTGAACAGTTGAACTGTGTTGAGTATTGATTTAAGTTCAATGGGGCTTTTCGCATACATTTTTAAGTCATCCATGTATAGTAGATGGTTTATCTTGCCATGTTGGCTTGAGATTTGGTATCCCAGTTTTGTGTTTCGCAGGATTATTGTCAATGGAATTAATGTGATGTTGAACAGTAGTGGTGAAAGTGAGTCCCCATGGAAGATTCCTTGTCTGATGTTGACTTCACCAATGTTCTCCCCATTTGCTGTAGGAACTGTTTTCCATTTTTGCATATTTGCTTTCAAAAATGTACAAATATTTTTGATGATTCCAAAGTTTTCCAGACAGGTGTTAATCCAGCTGTGGGGTAATGAGTCAAATGCCTTCTTGTAATCAATCCATGCCATATTTAAATTTGTTTTTCTTCATTTTGCATTTTTTAGTACCATTTTGTCAATGAGCAGCTGATCTTTTGTTCCTCTTGATTTTTTATAATTTCCTTTTTGTTCTACTGGATACAAATCCAGGAGCCTGGATAGCTCTGCAGACTAAGCACTGTAATTTAACACCAGCTGTCTGCAATTAAAGTAAGTTCGAATCTTGTCAGACTCAAGGTTGACTCAGCCTTCCATCCTTTCTAAGGTAGGTAAATTGAGGACCCAGTTTGTGGGGGCAATAAACTGACTTTGTATAAAATATACAAAAGTATGAAGGCTATTGCTTAACGCACTGTAAGCTGCCCTGAGTCTCCGGAGAAGGGCGGTATATAAATCATTTTTTTTTAAAAAAAATTGTTTTCCATCAGATGATTGAATACTGAATTTGCCAGTATTCTTGTAAAAAGTTTGAATGTTGTTGGCAGGCAAGTAATTGGGTGATAGTTGCTTGGCTCTGTGCCCTTTTCTGGATCTTTCATTATCAAGTATGTTCGACCAGCTGTTAACCATTCTTCACTTGTTGCATTTTGAAGCATTTGATCAAATTGAGTGGCCATGCGATAATGGAGGCTGGTCAGTGTTTTAGCCAGTATCCATGCAGTTCATACAGGCCAGGTGCACTCCAGTTCTTGACCTTCTTTGCTTGTTTTGCAACCATGTCAGTTGTTATTGCAATATTTTCCATTTTGTTTCGTGTTGTTTGTTGTTGAATATCTTTCATCCAGGAGGCAGTTTTGTGTGTTCCACTGAGTTTTCCCACAGTTCTTTCCAAAAGTTCAAAGTTTTTTCTTTACATGGGTGAACGTTAGTTTGGACTCGATTTTCATCAAGGGACTGGTAGAAGAGGTGTTGATTTCTTCTGAACTGGACATTTTCACAATATTGTTTAATTCATCCTTCATATCTTTCAATTTTCTTTGCTGTTGCTATTACACGTTGTTTTAGTTCTTCCATAATTTCTGTTATTGTTTTTTCCTCCAAGTTGTATTTTTATGTAAGCTATTTTCAGCTTTTTATTCTTTAGTTTGCCTTCTTTCAAGTAGTTCAAATTGCTGAAATCTCTTCGTAGCTTTTTTATTTTGTTTTCAAGTCGAATTTTCCACTTTGGTGTTCAAGTGGGTTTCTTTTTTGACATTTTATAACTGAATTGTGCAGTTATAACGGCAGCTGTGCTGTACATTAGTTGGTTTATTTCACGTAGTGTGCTGGATGAAATGGAGGTTAAAATGCTGTTCATGGCAGTTAGTAGATCTTTCACTCGTTTGCTATGCACTTCGCGAATGGTAGGTAGTCTTTTTCTTTCTATGTTTTCTTTGATATGGTTTTCAATCTTTTCTTTCAGCATTTTTGCTAGATCACTTAGCTCTACATTTTCGAGTTGTTGCACAGGAGGAATTTCATCCTTTATGTTGGTTTCTTCCACTGGTTGGTCAGTTTGTTCAGATGTTGGAACAGTTTCTTCAGCCTGTTCATCATCATTACTTGTTGTTTTCTTTTTAGCCAATGCTTCTAGAAGCTGCATTTCCACATTTGTGAAAACTTCATTACGGATAATGAAACGTCTTTGATCCATTAATCTTTGTTCAGTTATGTCGCTTTCTGGGTGGTTTTCCTTCCACAGTTGCATCATTCTTTTTTGAAATCCCCTGACTGTTGGTTCTGCCTGGTAATAACATTTGATGATTTCTTGATTTTCTTCAGTTGTCCAAGTTTTGCACTTTTGTCCCAGTCGCTTTACAGTTGCATGCCCTGGTTCCCCAGCAGTAGCAACTTAGCCCTGTAGCCCATTTTTTGACAGATGTCCAGGAGCCACAGCATCTGACGTGGTCCTTGTTGACCCAGGCGACAACTGATCCGGTATGGAATTTTGTTGATTTCTTCTCATCATTGGTGATGGTGGGGGCCTGGGTTGGTTCACGGTGGCTAAGTCACTACCGATCCAACAATCGGCATTCCCATAACCATAGGGACCAATAGCCATCCAGGCCCAGCCATGGGTGGCTGTTGTTGTTGTTGTTGTTGTTGTTGTTATTCCTAAACAGCTTTCCTACTCCTTCAGAGGGGGAAACCAAAAGCACTTGCTTTATGCCTATTATTAGAAATTCAAGTAAGATATAAAAGATATAATAACATACAAACTATGTTTACCCAAAAATAAGATCTGATCTTATTTTCTTTTGTGCCCCAAAATAAGTACTAGGGCTTGTTTTCAGGGAAACATGATTTCAGGGTGATCAGCCCAACTGGGAGTCCCACGTCCCCATGCACACACAAGAGCTGGCAAGTGTGCAGGGACCAATGGTAACTGGCAGCAGCTGCAGCCCACCAATCCCTTGATTGGCACACTCTGGAGTTGCACAGAGCATATGGCACGGAGCAGAAGGCAGGCAATCCCAACATGCTGAGTGGAAAGCAGGTGATCCCAATGCATCGCATGGGCTGCAGGTAACCAGAGAGATGCGAAGATGAGCCTCCTGTAGCCGCCTATCATTCTGGCCCACTGCTGCTCAGCTTTCCTGTGGCCCATGTGGCGCACCTGGATCTCCTGTCTCACACACACACACCGCCTCTGTCTGTGCCAGTGTCATCACATGAAGACAATCCTCCAATGGCCATCGGCCGAACCACCCACCTCCACTCAGTTTTCCCATAGCATATGTGGCACGCCTGGATCACCTGCTACCCCCTGTATCTCTGCCTCTGCTGCTGGTGTCGCTGCATGAAGATGAGCCTCGCGGCTGCTTGCTGCTCCAGCCCATCGTCACTTGGCCCGCACGGCATGTCCGGATCACCTCCTCCAATCTCCCTGCGTCTGCCTCTGCCTCTGCTTGCACATGTACTCAACTCACCTATGCTGCGTGGGCTATGGCTGTTACCAAACACTGTAGGCCTGTGCATGCTTGCTGCCTCCTATGCTGGCCATGCCCTCACTAAGGCTTACTTTTGGGATAGAGCTTATTATTAGGCACATACATAAAAAATAAGTGGAGGCTTATTTTGGGGGGTAGGTCTATTTTCGGGGAAACATGGTATTTGTAAATAATGTAAGTAATGAACACAGGTGAAACATAGCATTTATTCAGGGAAAAGCAAGGAAAAGTATTAGACTGGGAGTTTTATATGACTGATGAAGGTGGAAGTGGGGTTTTAAACTCAGCAGAAGAAACACCTTTGAATCCCAGAATGTTAGTTGTGCATTTTTGGCTGGTGCTCATTCTTATCCTAATCGGTGTCTCTCCCTTCCATTAACACTAATAGGATAATAGCCTTCATATATCTTCATTAAGACTTGTCCTCTTGCAACCGCAGCATTCTCAGGGTGAGACCATCACCTCAGCAATTTTGAAGCCAAACCTACCTGCTGGTCAGTGGACTATATGGAAACTTTATGTAGAAGTTTGAGAGTTCATACATGTGGGCATAGAAAAGTTCTAATATCAAATATCCATACTCAATGCTAGAATGATAAGCCTGTAATTCTTGGACTGCTCCATGGAAGGAAGATACTATGTTGATTTATGGTTCTTTCTACACTCCCTCCCTTTTCTAAAAAAGTAGGTGCCTTCTCATTATGACCAATGTGGGATTTCCTGAATCTCTGTATTAATGCTAGAACATCTGATGTTTGGATGTTCATACCTTCAGTGTGATTCCAAGATCAGATTCTCACCTTGCGCACACACACACACACACACACACTCACGCACACACACCCTTCATTCACAGAGCAGTGTTTCTTGGCCTTGACAGCTTTAGCATGTGTAGACATCAACTCCCAGAACTTCCCAGTCAGCATAGGACAACTCACACATGTTAAAGTTGCCAACACTACTCCAGAGACTTTTCCCTTTCTCCAGAAAAAGAGAAAGCTTAAATGAGACTTCTTACATGACAATGATATTGTTTTCTCTCACAATGCATAAGAGCTGTTCTATGTTTCCAATGCAAGCCAGGGCCAGATTTAAAGGGTTTTAGGTCAGTCTTTATAATGGCACGTGAGAATGATTGTGGAAGCCAGGAAGAAGAGCCACAGATTAGGCAATTGCCCGGTAAGAGACACGTGAACCTGCAGATATAATGGGGCATATTAAATATCTCAGAAGGGACCTTCCCTAGCTTTTTGACCTGTAAATATGAGGAGAGAGAAATGTACTTTCAGACTTACAGGATCCTGTTAATGTAACCATATACAATAGAGTTAGTGTAACTACTATTAGTTTTAAGAATGGCCTTTGATCCCCAGGGGATTTATCAAACACCTAGTGGCACCATTGTTGCAACAACAGTAGCAGGGAAAAGTACAAGTGGTCAATTTGCAGAATGTCATGATTCAATTAACACTACAACAGGGACAGAATTTGCCAGGGCCGCATTCCTTCTGCGGACTCAGCTGCCATTTGTCTGACCAAAAAGTCTAGTACCATGTTAAATATTCAATCAAAATAAACTTTGGCGATGATATATCAATTATTTCAAAACAATATTCATATCATAAAACAGCTTTTCCCAAAGTGAGCTTGAGTGCAGTTCATCACTCCCAGTTTAGCCAGAATGAGGAATGCTGGTTTTACGGGCTGAAATAAAAACGTCTTTAAAACACTGAACAGTAGAAATTATCACTAATATAATTTTCAATTTTAATCAATTATATGTCCCACCGAGAATCACTAGTTCGTTTTCATCTGAATTAAATCAATTGATCCAATCCCATCTCTTTCCAGGATCCAGACTGATAGATGCTTTTCAACATCACTCTTTGAGTTCAAACATATGTAGAAACCAGTGGTGGGTTGCCCCCGGTTCGCACTGGTTCTATAGAACCAGTAGTAAAAGCGGCAGGAGGCTCCATTCACCGACCCCGATGTCATCAGAACGCTTCTGCACATGTGCATGGCCCTGTTGCGAACAGGTAGTAAAGGTAAGTAGAACCCACCCCTGGTAGAAACTCATTTAAAAGTTTAATGCACATTGGGCGGGGGGGGGCGTATAGGTTTTAGACAGAAAACCACAAACCATTACATTGCATAAATTACCATTGCAGGATTTATTTGCTGTGTGGACCGCAACTTTCTTTTTTCCATAAGAAATCAGGTAAGCACCAAAAAGTAGATAACCTGGGGCTATTCTAAAGATACAGTTACACCCAGTGGTGGGATTCAAGTAATTTAACAACTGGTTCTTTGCCTTAATGATTTCTTCCAACAACCAGTTTGCCAAACTGCTCAGAAAGTTAACAACCGGTTCTCCCGAAGTGGTGCGAACTGGCTGAATCCCACTACTGGTTATACCTTACATGTTGATTGGTTTCACTGATAAGGCTAATCCTCCCAAATATTGGGAATGTTTAACACATCTTCCATGGATCCCATATCTATGCTCTGATAAAGCCTCTGGCATCATAAGATACATGTTGGTAATGGCAACTAAAAATAAAAAATGCCTCAGTATGAAAAAATGGCATACTGGTAGTTACCTACAACTCTTACCTCCTTTGTTTGTGCTTGTGCAACAATCCAAATGCTTAGTCAGGCAAGATAATCCAAGTGCAGCTATGAAGACTGGGTCCATTGAGGAATGGACAAATTATTATCCAGAGCAGTGTTTTTTAAACTTGGCAACTTTAAGATGTGTAGGCTTCAACTCCCAGAATTCCACAGTCCGTCATTCTGTTGGGAAATTCTGCAAGTTGAAGTCCACACATTTTGTCCTTGCCAAGTTTGAAAAACTTGGAGAGAGTTGTCCGTATGAGAATTTACCCTAAAAGAGCATTGCTGTAATTTATTAGGCAAAAGAATAGGAAATTTGAGCCATAATTCAGTCTAGACCAGGGGTGTCAAACTCAAGGTCCGCAGGCCAGATCTGGCCCGCGAAGTGCTTAGATGTGGCTCATGGGGCCGCCCTGCAATCAGCAAAGGATCAGCCCACAGTGCCTCTGCCAGCAAAAATAGAGCTTGGGAAGTTCACATGTGGCCCTCCTGAGCTCCGCTTTCGCTGACAGAGGGTTGCAGGAGGCTGTCGCAGCTGAAAACTGAGCTTGGGAGCCCATTTTCACTGGCAGAGTGCTTGGGCCACCACAGGTGCCCCTACATGAGTGACGTTGAGTTGGCCATGCTCACCCTGGCCACGCTACACTGCCTCCAAGGTCAAACACAACCATGATGCAGCCCTCAATGAAATTGAGTTTGACATCTCTGGTCTAGACTTCCAACACTATTCCAATGTAGTTGCTTCAGTTAATATTCCACACATTATATGTCAGGGTACCACCTTCTGAGTGAATCATTCGTGAAGTCATTCAACAATTCAAGATATGTATTGCTAGTTTGCTAATACTCAACTGCCATTCTGAGCTGTAGGGAAGATGCTATTGATGTCCTTTCTCAGTGGTTGGAAGGTCTAAGGATAGTAAAGAAGCTGAACCCAAACAAGACAGAAACACTGGTTATCCAGCAACACCAGCATTATATTAGATCAGGCAGACACAATTCCCCTTAAAGAGCAGGTTTGGGATTTGTAGGTCTTTCTAAATCAGTGTTTTTCAAATGGGCAATTTTAAGATGCTAACTTTAAAGTTATCTGGTTTGAAAAACACTGACCTAGACTCAGATTTCCTGCCAGTTCAACAGATGCAAGATATGGTTAAAGGAGCTTTTGTTCCATATTGGCTGGTGCACTCATTGCAACCTTACCTTGCTAGAGTAACTCATTCCACCAGAGTAGACTACTATAGTACATTTAGTTTCGAAGTACAATTTAAAATGCTGGGCTTGACCTATAAAGCCATTATGGCTTGGCCACTTGCTTTGACCAGAGTCAAACCAACCTATAGGGAGAATCTGTTCATGATACCTGAATTTCAGGAGATAGAAGGAGCTGACGCCAGGATGTGTTTCTTTTCAATAGCAATGCTGGTTCTCTGAAAATCAGTTTGGACTTTTTCTTGATTTTCTTTAGAATGAAACTGAAATCGGAACTATCCCAGAAGACCATTGGTTTACTTATCAACAACTGAAAAAAAGATTTAAACTGGATAAAAAGTGGTATGGATTTGACTTCGTTAAAAATGAATTGGCCTGTATGTACCCAAGTTTACAATCTACATGTTGGAGATGTAAATGTGATGATGCAACGTATTTTCATATATAGTGGACATGTAAGAAAATTAAGGCATTTTGGATTAAGATATGGTGGATCATACAAAATATTCTTAAAAGGAAGATAAAATTTACTCCACAGTTGTTTTTATTGGGTATAATTGTAGACTGTACAGTTATAGAGACTAATTTGATTTTGAATTTAACAACCGCAGCCAGACTTTTGGTGGCTCAATATTGGAAGAAGGAAGAAATACCTACTATTGAAGAATGGACATTAAAAGTAGCCAATTTGGCGGAGATGGCTAAAATCTCTGCATATTTGAGGGACCATTCGAATGAAAGATATGTACTGGAATGGAGAAGATGGATTGACTATGTACAAAACAAATATGGGACTAAAAAGTTGCAAATAGCTTATGAATGAAATATTTAGATGACTTTTCTTTCTACTTTGATATTTTGGTACTTATGGGGGAGTTAAAGAGTAAGGGGGAGTTAAGAGCTTATAGTTAGTTTGTTTATGTTAGATTATGTTTGCTAAATGCAATACCCTGTATTTTGCTCTGGGAAGTTGGGGGGGGGGAGGGAGCAGGGAATGGGTGGGGGGAGGAGGGGGGTAATTTGTTTGTAAACCATTTTAAAACTTTTCAATAAAAAAAATGAATTGGAAATTTTATTATGTGAAAACGATGAACATATTATCGCTAAAATCTATAACATTATTGAAATTGACTTTGGAAAATGAAGATGTAAAACATTGTATGATTCAGTGGGCAAGGAATTTTGGATATAATGTGATGCTTGAACAATGGGAAAATATGAGATGAAGGGTTTAAATTTTACATTAAATTATAATCTAAAAGAACGTTCCTATAAATTGATGATCATTGGTATTTAACACCAGATAAGTTATCTAAGATGTATAAAGGTATGTCAAATGAATGTTGGAAGTGTAAAAGGAAAGAAGGGACTTTTTAATCATCTATGGTGGACATGTGATAAAGCAAAATTGTTTTGAAGTATGATTCATATTTTAAGACAGAAAATTTTGAAAATGGAGATAAAGATGAAACCAGAACTTTTCCTTTTGGGCCTAATGGAAAAAGATCTGGAGAATTTTGACAGCAGCAAGGTTATTGTATGCACAGAAATGGAAGGCTGCTTCAATCCCTACCATTGATGAATGGTTGCAGAAGTTCATGGAGATGGCTGAAATGGCAAAATTGACTATTTTGATTAAAGAAAAGAATATAAGTACTTTTATTTACACATGGAGTGTCAGGGTTCCAAGTAACACCCCCAACGAAAGAAGACTCCAGGGCTCGAGATTCCATTTTATTAGAGATGTCATATTGGCACATCTGGGAAAACCTGAATCTGAATGTTTCCAGGTTTTCCTCACCCAAGTGAAAGTTCAAATCCCTGCCCAACACCCACATATCCATCACATGGCCCAATCAAACACCCTCCCAACTGGAGATGTCTCTCAGTCATCCGACTCCAGGTGCCAGGGCAAGGCATCCTTGACTCTCTGAGAAAGGAATGTTATTTTGACTATATATCTCCCAAAAGCCATATAATCGCCCCTCCCATTTTCCCAGAAAATGTGGTAGGCCTGAAGGCCCAATGTAAAAGATGGCTTCCAGGCCTGACATGGAGACCACTTCTGAACTTTGTGCTTGAAGTGGAAAAGAATGAAACTTTGATTTTGGGTTTTACCAATTAGATTGATGGATCTCTATAGAAATGGCTTGCTCATATTATTATGAAAAAACAAATAGTTGTGATTTGATGTTAATGCCTTATTTTACTGCAACAGAGACAGTTGGAAGTCAGTGTTTCTTTTTCTTTTCTTTTTCTTATTCTTCCTTGCTCCTCTTCCCCCTCTTCCTCCCCACCGTTTTTCTATTTACTATTGTATTTTGTATCTTATTTTATTTTAACTCAATAAAAAATGTTAAAATATTAAAAAAAGAACTATTCCAGAAGGCATTCTAATTGGACCAACTCTGATTTATATTTTGAGTTTATTTTTTGAACTGTTATTTCAAGGTTATCTCGTTTTGATTTTATGTTGACTTTAGTATTACCACAGATATTTTAATTTTTTTCATTAACTCTCAACACTGTGATGGGATGTCCATTTAATAAATAAATAAGCAAATCAATCAATTTCCTTATATCCCAAATCTTTCTGGTAAGATGATGTATGAGTGTTTGTGAGTCTGTGGTTTTTCTTCTGAGACTTCCTATCTCATTGAATACCCATCTCAGGATGAATGCAATGCACACAATGAACCTAATATTTTGATACAAATACTAGGAAATGTCATAATTTATGGCTTCCTGGCTATCTTGTCAAATGCAGCATCAAGGGCTAAAAGCAACAGTCCATTTCGTTTCCAATTCCCATTCAGCTATTTTTATATTCAAGTCTCAAGAAGCATTCATCTCCGGTGAAAATCAAAACCATAGATTTCTACAAGAGGTACATATTCTTCCCCATTTGCTATTGGGTATTTCAGTTCAGACACCCAAACAAATACTGCACTCCTCTTCCGGATTTAATTAAAAATATCCACTTGATTGTGTTTCCCTCTCGCTCTCCTTTTCAAGAAGACTAAAAATGACTGCCTCAAAAGGATTTTATGACGTATTTGCCAATATACAAGAATATGTGTTTATTGCACACAACAATGAGAGCCTGTAAAGAATCTAGTGGCTACAGGAAAAAAAAAAGCAAGTACAGAGAGTCCGACAACATCTATAGAGGTTGAAGTTCCAAATGAAGTACCAGAAGGTCAGGCTGAACTAGCACCAAGAAACAAAGACTTTTCATCAGCTTAATGAAAGAAGCATATTGACAGAGATCTGAATTTTTCTTCAGCTCAGGGGCAATATTTGGTCTTTTAAAAGTTGATAGACTTAGACTCAACTTTTCATACAGGAACTCAAGCTGAAATTGTGTCCCTTCTCTAATTTTTCCTCACAATTATCACCGTGTGAGATAGACTAAGTTAAGAGAAGAAGGCAATTCCCTTACACCATGTTGGTTTTCTATAGCATAGACTTGGTCATAAAGATCTGGGTGGAGAAACCCCCCACCACAGATTGATTTAAATTAGATTAATATATTCAATATGGTTGTTACTCCTGCACCTAATAATTTGTCTCTTCCAACCTATTAAGAATTACGATTTGGCAGGCATTTTTTGGAGGGATTTCAGAAACCACAAGATTACAAGGATACAAATGTATTCTTCAGTGTGAAAGAAGATAATTTATTAGCAATGGCTACATTAAACATTTCCAAGCTCAATAATATTCATGGAAATAATGTTGCTGCAATGCATCCATAGAGAAGATTGGTCTCTTTACACAACATCCTTCAATACAAATCTATGAATATAAATTTAGATTGTATATTATTATCATTAAACTAAAGTAAAAATAAAACTTTATTGGATACACCATATTGGTACTGAAGAAACAAAACCAGCTCTGGTTTTCCTGTGCAAATGCTTACCTAGTTAAACAGTAGCTTCCTCTTTTCCCCACCCCTGGGTGATCACATTGTCCTATTATGAGACTTATGGGAACAGTCCATCTCTTTCTCAAGCACCTGCAGTGGTGACCTTGATAGTTTCCATACTCTCATGATCTCCACATACATTCTCGGCATTCCATTTCCTCCTTCCTTCCTCCCAGTTCATTGGCAAGTTGAAAAGCATTAGGGTTTGAAAGATGCAAAGCCATTCAATCTTGACAATAAGTCAAGGACTACCTGTATTATATGGCTGGAAGGACTTTAAAGATTTATTCTTTTCTTAGTAATTGTATCAATAGGTTTAGATGGCTAGCCTTCTATCAAGGTGTCCTTAATTTAATTTAATTTAATTTAATATTTAAATTTATATACCACCCTTCTCCCGAAGGACTCAGGGCGGTGAACAGCCAGAAGTAAAAAACATCAAATACAAAATATAAAAACCATTTAAAAATGAATTAAACAATTTGGCCCGACAGTTAAAATCCCCCATTAAAAATCCAAATTAAAATACACAATTGGAGAGATTAGGCCAGCCCGACTTGATGAAATAAAAAGGTTTTGAGGGCCCGACGGAAAGTTCATAAGTCTGGAATCGTCCGTATCTCCGGGGGGAGCTCGTTCCAGATGGCAGGTGCTCCCACAGAGAAAGCTCTCCCCCTGGGGGCCGCCAGTCGACATTGTTTGGCCGACGGCACCCGGAGGAGCCCCTCTCTGTGGGAGCGTACTGGCTGGTGGGAGGCTCTCAGTGGCAGAAGGCGGTCCCGTAAATATCCCGGCCCTAAGCCATGGAACGCTCTAAAGGTGGTCACCAACACCTTGAATCGCACCCAGAGGACCACTGGGAGTCAGTGCAGCTCACGCAGGAGAGGTGTTACATGGGAGTGCCATGACGCTCCCATAATCACCCGCGCAGCCGCATTCTGGACCAGTTGGAGCTTCCAGGTGAGATTCAAGGGGAGCCCTATGTAGAGAAAATTGCAGTAGTCCAGGCGGGAAGTGACGAGGGCATGAGTGACCATGTGTAAGGAGTCCCAATCCAGAAAGGGACGCAACTGGCGAATCAGGCGAACCTGATAAAAAGCCCCCCTGGCCACGGCCGTCACCTGCTCTTCTAAAGACAGCCATGCATCCAGGAGGACACCCAAGTTGCGAGCCCTCTCTGTGGGGGCCAAAAACTCGCCCCCAATAGTCAGAGATGGCACCAACTGACTATATCAGGATGCCAGAAGCCACAGCCACTCGGTCTTGGATGGGTTGAGCTTGAGCCTGTTTCTCCCCATCCAGATCCGTACAGCCTCCAGACATCAGGACATCACATCAAGGGCATCATTGGGGTGATCCGGGGTGGAGATGTACAGCTGAGTGTCATCAGCATACTGATGGTACTTCACCCCGAAACCATGGATGAACTCACCCAGCGGCTTCACATAAATGTTGAACAGAATGGGCAAGTGGACAGACCCCTGCGGCACCCCACATACAAGGCTCCTCGGGGTCGACCTCTGGCCCCCCGTCAACACAAACTGCAACTGGTCAGAGAGGAAGGAGGAGAACCACCGCAATACAATGCCCCCCACCCCTAACCCTCCAACAGCATGATATCATGGTTAATGGTATCAAAAGCCAATGAGAGATCTAACAGGACCAGGACAGAGGAACAGCCCCTGTCCCGAGCCCTCCAGAGATCATCAACCAATGCGATCAATGCAATTTCCGTGCTGTGTCTAGGCCTGAAGCCCGACTGGAACGGATCGAAATAGACTGCTTCATCCAGCTACTGGGGAACTGTCGCGCCACCACAATCTCAACTATCTTCGCCACAAAGCGAAGGTTCGAGACTGGATGATAATTTGCTAAAAAAGCTGAGTCCAAGGAGGGCTTCTTGAGGAGAGGCCTCACCACTGCCTCTTTCAAGGCAGTGGGAAAGTAGCCCTCTCTCAAAGAAGCGTTAACAACTCTTTGGAGCTAGCCTCGTGTAACCTCCCAGGAAGCCAGCACCAACTAGGAAGGACACGGGTCCAATAAACATGTGGCCGTGCTAAGTCTACCCAGAATCCTCTCCACGTCTTCAGGGGTCACTGGGTCAAACTCCTCCCAGATAACACTCTCAGGACCTGTCTCCGTCACTCTGCCTGTATCTACCCAGTCAGAGTCCAGGCCTTCCTGAATTTGAGCGACTTTATCATGCACAAAATCCTCAGCCCTGCCCTCCAAGGGGTCCTCCTGCACTCCCGGATGGAGCAGGGAGCGGGTCACCCTGAACAGGGCGGCTGGGCAGTTATCTGCAGATGCGATAAGAACGGAAAAATAAAACCGGGAAAGAACTTCTTTAAGGATTTTAATAAATTAATAGCAGATTACATATGGCAAGGGAAGAAAGCAAGAATTAAAGCAAAACATCTACAGGATACAAGAGAAAGAGGAGGACTGGCACTATCGGACTGGGTGACATATTATAAAGCATCAGCACTAATTTGGATCAAGGAATGGATGGAACTCAAAAATAAAAGATTATTGACTTTGGAAGGATTCGACCTACAACGAGGATGGTACGCATTTCTGTGGGAGGGCACCGATAAACAGCATGGATATTTTCAGAGGCACATCATCAGACAAGCACTATATCAGACATGGCAGGGCATCAAAAAAACACACTACAATAAGATCCCGGAATGGCTATCAACCATGGAAGCCCAGATCTATCCCAATGCTATGGACAACACCAAAATGAGAACTTATAAAGATTTACTAAATAACCGAGGGGAATTAAGAACAAGAGAAGAATTGAAGGAGATGGGTATGGATATTGATTGGTGGTCATATCTACAAATAAAATCAAAATATAAGAAAGACTCGGCTCAATTTGGATTCCAAAAAGGCCAATACGAATTAGATAAAATTTTACAAGGATCACAGGATAAATTGATAAAAAAAAGTCTATAATTATTTACGAGGATACAAATTAGAAGAAGAAGTGGTCAAAGAAAACATGATAACTTGGGCAAAGAATTTCGGCTACAATATTCAATTAGACAATTGGGAAAAATTATGGACAATAAATTATAAATTAACAATGTCGGTACCATATAAGGAGAATCTGTACAAAATGTCCTATAGGTGGCACCTCCCACCGGCCAGACTGGCAAGAATGTTTCCCAACACCGCTCCAACATGCTGGAAATGTAAACTTTATAGAGGAACCTACTATCACATGTGGTGAACCTGCCCAAAAACAATACTGGCAAATGATCAGAACACAAGTAAAAGAAATCACACAACAAAGATTAGAAATGAGGCCGGAAACCTTTCTACTAGGTATAATAAATGGACAATATGAAAAGGAAATAAAATACTTAATCATTCATATAACAACAGCAGCACGAATAATTTTTGCACGAAATTGGAAGAGTAGTGACACACCAACAGAAGACAGAGTAATTAATAAAATCATGGAATGTGCAGAAATGGACAGACTCACAAAGGAACTACAAGATAAAGAAGAACACAATTACTATCTAGTATGGGAAAAGTGGTACACTTGGTTAGAAAATAGAAAAAGGAAAAAAGAATAGGGAGCAATTGGAGTTACACAAACAGGAACATAAATCACTAACATAAGCTAACAGTGAACCATAAAGATAGATAGATGAGTAAGACCAAACAAGGAAGAGTCAAAACACAAATAAGAACACGTATTACAGTTGCGATACCTTTGACAAAATGTATACTCGAACTCTTTGTTTACATGTTTTGTATGTTTTGTTGTTACTCGTTTTGTCTTGTTTGTACTTTTAAACAAATAAAAAAACTTTAAAAAAAAGAACGGAAAAATAATTAAACTTTGCCATTTTTATAGCCACTAGATAGGTCTTAATATGAGATCTTACCAGTGTTTGGTCAGATTCGGAAAGGCTAGCTGTCCAACTGCTCTCTAGGCGTCTTTTCCGGCGCTTCATCTCCCTCAGCTCCTCGGAGAACCAGGGAGCTAAGTGAGATTGGCGGCGGGTCATGACACGGTCCAAAGCTCCAGCGGCCCAGGCGGCCACCATGTCTTCAGCTGGGTCATGAGCCAGAGCCTCAGGGAATGGCCCAAGCTCTGTCTGGAACCTAACAGGATCCATCAGGCGCTGGGGCGGAACCACTTAGTCGGTTCCACCTCCCCGAGGCGGGGTGTAGTGGTTTGAAGGTCAAGTTGAAGGAGAGAATGATCAGACCATGACAAGGGTTTAATCACTACATCCCCTATATCTAAACTATTCAGCCACTGGCGAGAGATGAAAACCAAGTCCAGAGGGTGTCCCCCTATGTGTGTAGGGCCATGAACTAACTGGGTCAGGTCCATGGCCATCATGGAAGCCATGAAGTCCCGAGCCGCCTCAGACATTTCACCGATGGACGGCAGGTTGAAATCCCCCATAACCATAAGTCTGGGGGTATCAATCGCCATCCCGGCTATCACGTTGAGCAGCTCAGGCAGGGCTGTCGCCATGTGGCAGGGAGCCAGGTACATGATCAGCAGGCCCACCTGCACCCCATGACCCCACTTCACAAAGAGGGATTCACATCCGGCTATTTGAGGCACAGTGGCCTCCTTTGGATCAAGACCTTCCTTTATAACAACCACTACCCACCCGCCCCTCCCCTGAACCCTCGGCTGATAGAATGCTCGGAAGCCTGGTGGGCACATTTCAACAAGGGGAACCCCTCCTCCTGGCCCAACCAGGTCTCCGTAATACCCACCAGGTCCGCTCCCCCCTCTTGAACAAGATCACAAATGAGGGGGGCTTATTTAGCCAAGATGTCTGCAAGGAACAGTGACAAAAGCCAAAATGGCAGCCAAAATAATATGTTCAAAATTCCATCCCTTTTTTATGTGTGAACTAAAACACTGATAGTTAGATACGACAGAATCCTTTTCTGTAATATAGCTATAGTGTATACATATATAACATAGATATAAGTAGAGGTTTAGGTGTACGAAGAAAGTCTAGAGCCTTTAAGTTCTTTCATCAAGTCACACATAAGCATCTACATAATATGTAGGCAAGATTCAGTAACTGAAACTTTGTAATAATAATATTTTTTTAAAAAAATAGCAACATCCAAAGCTCCAACAAGGAGGTATGTAAATTAACTTGTATAGAACTCCTTGCCAGTTTTTAATCAAAGCATACAAAAGCAATTATTAAAATTAATGCAATTAACCATGCGCTTTACTTCTTAAAAAGCTATTTTTGGAAAAAATCACCATCTGTCCCATTCAGAACGATCGGCTTTGGAATTTTTACTCTCCGTTCTGCCTCCTACGAATCCCACATATAAGTCTGCAAACATATCCATGTAAAAGAAAACTCCAGAATATTGGCACGGGAACAAATCTGACTTTACTGAAATCGGCACAGATGGAAGACAATTGCCTTCTCCTATACCTATACCTGTATAATAAGGTAAATTGATTGTTACGTTACCACTGTGTGTTTACATATTTTAGAGGATATTTACTGGAATTTTAAAGAGCATATCTAACACAAAATGTAACAAGGCGCAACTTGACAATGTTTGATTTATATTGCCACATTTCTAAGAATAAAGTGAATTTACTGATAGAACATAGCTTCTATAGCAAGTTCAGCAATACTATTCCAGCTGGTATTAGTTCTGGTACTATTCTGCAACTACAATGGATCACACTATTCTTTGTCAATTATGCGTTCTTTATGTCTTAAGAAGATAAACTCAATTCCAAGGGTCTGAATAGAAAGAGGATTATTTATGTATTTATTCATTTATAAAATTTACCACAGGATAACTCTGTGAGACTTACAGTTACATGAAATCTAAAACAAAAAGTTAAAAACAAACATTAAAACTAAAAACACATGGGGAAGGGTGGGGAAAGGCGGGATCTGTTATTACTCAATCAACGACCTCCACTGCGCTGATCCCCCACTGGAGCCCCAACCCACATTGTCACATTGGGGGGCAAGATGTTCCAGAGGGCAGGAGCAACAGCAGGAAAGGCCCTCCTCCATGACTTTGCTAGCCAGAATAATTGAGCTGACAGGACCCACAGCATGCCTCCTCTGCCAGCATGAGTGGTAGGGGTCAATCCCAATGAGACGAGATGGTCCCTCAAGTAACTTGTAGCATGAAGGGCTTTAAAGGTGATCATCAACAGCTTGAATTGAACCCAAAAGCAAACTGATAACCAGTGCAGCTCGCCGAGCAGTAATGTCACAGGGGTCATTCTTGAGGTCCCCAAAACTATCCATACCACTGCACTCTGCACCAGCTGTAGGATAGAATATGTAAAGTCTGTTCAAAAGTAGGTCTTGTCAAAGAAATCTGAAAGACAAAAAGGACAAGGACAAGTATAAAAAGTGGAAAGAGAAGCATATAACTAAGGCAGAATATCAGCAAATAGCAAATAGCCTGAGCCTGCCAAGATGAAGTGAGGAAAGCTAAGGCTCACAATGAACAAAGGCTTGTGACAAAAGTAAAAAAAATAACAACAACAACAAAAACACTTCTTCGAACATGTTAAAAACAAGAAAAAAGTCAAGGAAACTATTGATCCATTGCTGGAAGAGGGTGGCAAGAAGGTGACAGGAAGAAAGCAGAACAGGAAGAAAGCAGAACTACTTAACTCATTTTTTGCATCTGTCTTTACACAAATGGAAAAAACAATCCACCCTTTCAAAAACAGCACCATAAAAAACAGATTAGGAACACAAGTTAAAATAGGGAAGAAAATGGTAAGTGAGCACCTGTCTACCCTAGACGAGTTCAAATCACCAGGACCAGATGGATTACACCCTAAGGTTCTGAAGAAACTGGCAGATGCGATCTCAGAACTACTGAACTTTATCTTTCAAAGATCCTGGACCACCGGCGAACTGCCAGAGAACTGGAAAAGAGCTGCTGCAGTTCCCAACTTCAAAAAAGGGGGAAAAAATAGATCCAGAAAACTACAGACCTATCTTCTCAATACCAGAAGATTCTGGAAAAGATAGTCAAGCAATGAATCAGCGAACACCTAGGAGCAAACAAAGTAATAACCAAAAGCCAACATGGGTTTCTCAAAAACAGATCATACCAGACTAATCTTATTGCATTCTTTGACAAAATGACAAAATTAGTGGACCAGAGGAATGCTGTCAATATAATTTACTTGGACTTCAGTAAGGCATTTGATAAAGCAGACCATAATCTACTACTTGAAAAAAATAGAAAAAGTAAGATTCTACATTTAGGCAAGAAAATGAAATGTATAGGTATAGTATATGTGGTACCTTGCTCAATAGTAGTAACTGTGAGAGGGATCTTGGAATCCTAGTGGACAACCATTTAAATATGAGCCGGCAATGTGCTGCAGCTGCCAAAAAAGCCAACACAGTTCTAGGCTGCATAAACAGAGAGATAGAATCAAGACCATGTGAAGTGCTAATACCACTTTATAACGCCTTGGTAAGACTATACTTGGAATAGTGCATCCATCCAGTTTTGGTTGCCACGAGGTAAAAAAGATTTTGAGACTCTAGAAACAGTGCAGACAAGAGCAACAGATATGATTAGGGGGCTGGAGACTAAAACATATAAAGAACAATTGCTGGAACTGGGTATGTCTAGTCTGATGAAAAGAAGGATTAAGGGTGACATGATAGCAGTGTTCCAATATCTGAGGGGCTGCCACAAAGAAGAATAGTCAAGCTATTCTCCAGAGCACCTGAATGTAAAATGTAAGAAGTAATGGATGGAAACTAATCAAGGAGAAAAGCAACTTAGAGCTAAGGAGAAATTTCCTGATGGTTAGAACAATTGATCAGTGGAACAACTTGCCTCCTGAAGTTGTGAATGCTCCAACACTGGAAGTGTTAAGAAGAGATTGAACAACCATTTGTCCGAAGTGGTGTAAGGTTTCCTGGTTAAGCAGGGGATTGGACTAGAAGACCTCTGAGGTCCCTTCCAACTTTGTTATTCTATTCTAATCTGAATATGTAACATAGACTCGCATTGACTATGATGCTCATGTGCTTTCAAGGATCTACACAACTCATTCTTTCTAAAATCTGAAGATGTTACCACCATGGCTGAAATTAATAGGAAATAAAGGTATGACCAGTGGAAGTTCCCATTACGTGAATAAGAAAGCTTTACTTGAGCAATCCTCTTGTGGTGTAAACCAATGCTAACTAAACCCATTGGAATCTGAGGGTCAAAATAAGTGTGATACAGGAATGTATCACCAATGCCAAACATTGACAGATGATATAATAATGCACATTATGTCATCTGCCAATGTTTGCTGATTTTTTAAAAAACTTTCATACCATAGTCTATGATCTTCTAAACAATAAACAGGCAGTTTTGATCTCTGACGATGGAGTTCTAATTTAAGGTATCCAATTCTATCTTCTGTAGAAATTTAGTAGACCTGAAAAAAAGGGGAAAAGAGGGTAGATTAGTGCGCTTACCCAGAACAATGCAGGGATTTTTCTGATCTAGTAACACTTCCTAAGGGGCCTCCTGTCTAAGTGAGGTCAATATCTGCATTGAAAAATTTGTTCCATTTGTTTCAATGGAAGGGATTGTGTTAATCTTTGTTTTTGTTTTTTTTAAGAACTAGGGGGAAAGTGTAGTGTTAGATATCAAGTACAGTTCAAATGAGCCAATCAGGAATTAGTCCTGAGAGCGGGAAATTAGAAGGCATGTCAGTGGTTGCAGCCGGGGACAGCCCCTTCCTATATAAAGGGTTGCCCGGGGTTTGAATTGCCATTGCTGTTTCTGGAGTTAAATAAAAGAGTTACAGTTACATTGTTTCGAGTCTTCCTTCAATCGCCCACGATTTAACATTGGCGACGAGGGTGGGATCTGAAGGAACAGGACTGCACATCAATCTCCAAGCAATCATCAGCCACCCATCCGATCCACCGAAACACCGGTCAGATCATCGGCTATCGTGATGTCTGCAATCACACCGCCCGCTCCATTCAACCCAACCGGGGAAGATTGGGAAGCTTACATGGAGCGATTCTATATGTTCATGGAGGCGAACGATCTGCTGAGCTTATCAGAGCAGAGGAAGAGGGCCCTTTTCCTCACCCATTGCGGCCCAGCAGTTTTTAAAATGGCAAAAGCGCTTGCCGCCCCAGCCGATCTGAAGACCATGACCTGGACAACGTTGCAAGAAATACTCAAGGCACACTACGCACCGCAAGCATCATCCCTGGTAAGAAGGTATGAGTTTTATTGGAGGGACCAAAGAGAGGGAGAGACAATCAGTGCGTTCGTGGCGACCTTGCGGGAAATAGCTGCTGCATGCGATTTCCTGAATCTAGAAGAGGCCATGAGGGACCGTCTAGTACTGGGACTGAGGGACCTCACGTTACAGAGTAGGTTGCTGGCCCGGCCTCAAATTACATTCAAGGAGGCCTTGGAAGAAGCATCCGCAACCGAAGCTTCCCAGAAATCGGCGGCGGCTATGAAGAAAATGAAAAGCGGGCCGCCCGTAAAGGAGGAGGCGGCCGTGCACTATGAAAGAGTGGAATCGGGTTCGGAGGAAGAGGACGAGGAGGATGAAGTCCATCACCTCCAAGCCGATCGCAAGGAGAGACAACAGGGGAAGAGAGAGGCCTGGTGCTCGGGATGCGAAGGGAACCACCCGAGAGCCGAATGCAGATTTCGGGACGCTATCTGCCAAAGATGCGAAAAGAAAGGGCACATAGCGAGGGTCTGCAGGGCATCCCAGCCAGCCTCAAGGAAGACCAGACCCCCCCGATCGCCAACAAACAACAGAAAATTCCAGACAAGTGGGAAGAGACAACCGTTTGGGCGAGGACAAAGAAACGATGACCATCGGGCGGATCGAGGCGAGACCCATCAAACCATCGTGATCAGCCATGCCAGTGCGGGAAGGGCAAATAAGATGGCGGCAACAGTCTTGATCGAGGGGAGACCCTGCAGAATGGAGGTGGACTCGGGATCCAGCCTATCGATGCTATCCTGGAGAACAATCAAGAAGCTCCTGCCACACATCACAGCCCGCGACCTCAAACGACAGCGCCTCACCCTCATCGACTACCAAGGGAACCGAATTCCTGTGGTAGGCATTGGCAAGTTCAACGTAGCCTACAAGACATTCAAAGCCACGCTACCCCTCACGATTGTGGACAGAGACCGGCCCAGCCTGCTGGGCATGGAGTGGTTCGAGCCATTGGGGCTAGCCATCACCGGCGTCGATCACATCGGAAACGACACCTGGGAGGAGGACCTGATGAGGGAGTTCGCAGAGGTCTTTAACAACGAGCTAGGCAAGTACAAAGGGTCCCCAATCTCATTCAATTTAGACCCCCAGGTAGCCCCAATCCGAATCAAACCCCGGAGAGTCCCTTTTGCGCTACAGCCAAAAATAGACGAACAATTAGATAAACTGGTCGCGCAGGGAGTGTTAGAGCCAATAGACCACGCGAGATGGGAAACCCCCATCGTGACACCGATTAAACCGGACGGGTCAGTACGCTTGTGCGGAGACTATAAAAGTACATTAAATAAGGCGCTCCAACAAAGCGCATACCCTGTACCAGTAGACCAACACCTCTTGCATTCCTTGGGGAGGGGAAGAATCTTCGCAAAATTGGATTTAGCACAAGCATACCAGCAGCTGCCCGTAGATGAAGCCACCGCGGAAGCACAAACCATCGTTACACACAGGGGCGCATTCAAATGTAAGAGACTGCAATTTGGGGTGAGTGTAGCGCCCGGGTTTTTCCAAAGCCTGATGGAACGACTCCTACAGGGAATCGAGGGAGTCGTCCCATATTTCGACGATGTATTAATATCAGCAAGGGACACGACTCAATTGAAGCAGCGGCTGAGGGAGGTGCTGACAAGGTTCCAGAAAGTGGGACTCAAAGTTAAAAGGGACAAGTGCCAACTAGCAGAGACTCAGGTCGAGTTCCTGGGATACTTGATAGATGAGTCGGGAATTAGACCCACCCCCGGGAAGCTGAGAGCGATCAAGGAAGCACCCCCCCCCAAAAAAATAAAACCAAACTGCAGGCATTTTTGGGGTTGCTTAACTTTTATAATATCTTCCTACCGCAGAAAGCTACCACTGCTGAACCACTCCACCGGCTACTGGACAGGAAGGCAGAATGGAAATGGGGGGAGCGAGAGAGGAAAGCGTTCGAAGACATAAAGAACCTTTTAACGTCAGACAGAGTTTTAGTGCAATACAGCGGGACATTACCCATAAGACTAACTTGCGATGCATCCCCCTTCGGCATCGGAGCTGTATTGAGCCACAAGATGCCTAGCGGAACAGAGGCCCCCATTGCATTTTTCTCCCGGACTTTGTCAAAACCCGAACGGAACTATAGCCAATTGGACAAAGAGGCGTTAGCCGCAGTAGCCGGAATAAAAAGGTTCCATGAGTATCTCTACGGTCGGAGTTTTGAACTAATAACCGACCACAAGCCATTGTTAGGCATCATAGCAGGGGACAAACCAACACCCCCCGTTTTGTCGCCCAGAATGCTAAGATGGGTGGAGTTTCTGGCGGCCTACAACTACACACTGCTCCACCACCCGGGAAAATCAATCGACCATGCAGACGCCCTCAGCAGGTGCCCACTTCCAGAAACGGGGGAGGATCCAGCGCCAGCGATGACCACGCTGCTAATCGAGACGATGGAGGAAGCCCGAATTTCTGCAGCCGACATCGCGAGGGCCACCGCAAAGGACAAAATACTGGCGCGAATTTTAAATTGGATCTGGAAGGGGTGGCCGGAGGAAAAAGACATAAGCACAGAGTTCCTGCCATACAAACAGAGGCAAAATGAACTGTCAGGACTAAGGGGGTGCGTGTTGTGGGGGGATAGAGTCATTGTTCCAAACACACTAAGACAACAGACACTCAGATTACTCCACGACGGGCACCCGGGGATCGTGAGGATGAAAGCCCTGGCCAGAAGCTACGTGTGGTGGCCCGGGATGGACAAGGAAATCAAGACGTGGGTGTCCTCCTGCACAAACTGCCAAGAGTCGAGGGCGGCACCAAACTCAGCCCCCGTCCACGACTGGGAAAACCCGGGAACACCATGGGCCAGATTGCACATCGACTTCGCAGGGCCGTGCAAAGGGAATACGTTCCTAGTCATCGTGGACGCATATTCAAAGTGGCTCGAAGTAGTGCTCATGTCGATGACCACAGCAGACGCAGTGATTAAAGTATTGAGACGCCTATTCGCCACACATGGGATTCCCAACCTCATAGTCTCCGACAACGGGCCGCCGTTCACATCAAACACCTTAGAGATGTTCCTCGCTGACCAAGGAATAAGGCACGCCTTATCGCCCCCCAAAAAACCTTCGACGAACGGTTTGGCGGAACGGATGGTGAGATCTACAAAGGAGACGCTTATGAGATTAGGCCCAGGGGACATTCAGGCCAAATTAGATAAACTATTAGCCATCCAGCACATTACACCAAGCGCCACGACCCACCGAAGCCCAGCAGAATTATTAATGGGCCGTAAGCTGAGATCCCCTCTGGACAGACTGCACCCGCAGTACAGCACAGAGAAGCCAACCGACTCCATGAGCAGAATCCGAGAGTTCCAGCCAGGGGACAGAGTCTACGCAAAAAACCTGAGCGGAAACCCACTCTGGGTACCAGCAACAATAACCCAGGTGACGGGGCCCCTGTCCTACCGGGTCCAGACAACAGACGGCCAGCACTGGAAAAGGCACATTGACCAGCTAAGGGGAAGATTAACGAGAGTCGAGAGGGAAACCCAGCACAACAACCAGGGGGAAGGAAAAGACACGCAAGCGGTACCAGAGCGGGCCAATACACAAACGCCAGTTCTGGACACGCCTAACACCAGCCTGGAAGAAGATAACAGCGAGCACGTACCTGAGTCCACGGAGGAGGCAACAGGCGCCGAAAGGAGCCAGCGGGGACAGCCAAGTAAAGTGGGAGAAGGAGGCGAATCCACGCCGGAGACCGAGTTCGAGAGAGTTCCGGAGCCCACACAGAGGGAGCAGCGGACCTCAACCTCTCAACCCGAAGGCACCAGAACGACTGAACTGCGCAGGTCCAGTCGAACCTCCAAGCGACCCGCCTACTTACGCGACTACGTAGCATAGAGACCCCGGACGGGCGGACACTGAACTAGGGGGGAGGAGTGTTAGATATCAAGTACAGTTCAAATGAGCCAATCAGGAATTAGTCCTGAGAGCGGGAAATTAGAAGGCACGTCAGTGGTTGCAGCCGGGGACAGCCCCTTCCTATATAAAGGGTTGCCCGGGGTTTGAATTGCCATTGCTGTTTCTGGAGTTAAATAAAAGAGTTACAGTTACATTGTTTCGAGTCTTCCTTCAATCGCCCACGATTTAACATGTAGAAATGTTGTTGTTCCCATATTTCTCTCCTAATGGCATGGGCCAAGCAAGGCTTTATTTCTTGGGGTCACCATAATTACAACTTCACACCACCACTAGATAGGACTGAATGTATTAACTCTTAGATGAATCACCTAATGGAGTATTCTGACAAGTCACACAAAAGTCACACAGCAAATAATAACACTGTACTTGACCTTGCATTTCCTTTTAGAACTTGTTAATTATCACCTTTTCAGGTTAGATATATGCTGTACTCATCTATTGAAACTACGTGTTACAATTAGTTGCTTGCTTTTTCTTTAGAAAAATTGAAATTGAGAATGGCTAGTTTTCAATTTGAAGACCATAGTTGCCCTTCAAAGTCATGTGTACAGGTCTCAGAATTCCTCCAAAGAATGTGTAATCTTTCATATGACATCATAGGATCATTATTACATATGTACAGAATAAATTTGTGGAATATATTTATAATAAATAAGTAAAAAAAATGAGTACAATTGTTTTTACATAAAATTTGATTTCATCCTGATTCCATCTATTGTTGGAAATGCAGCCTTCACTTTGCCCCTAAAAAGATTGTGGCTGTTCTCCTGAAAATAGTTGAATTCCTTTTTTAACCTAACATTCCTCTTTTATAACTTTTATAACATTATTTTAGTATTTTAAATGAAGTATTAACTTCCTAATGTTTTTTTTTACTGTTTCTATATGTTACAATTGTATTTAGTTTGCTCGCTTATTTGCTTATACAAAACTAGATAACATCAAAAAAACCATCCTTATTTCATGTCAATCCTACACATATATCAAATATGGAATCCTTGATGCTTTCTGAACTTGGTTGTTTGCTTACAAACATTTTATGACTGAGTAGGTAACATTATCAATGCTCTGATGATGCTACCTTGTCATGAAATGTCTACAGGCAAACAATCAAGCTCAGAGAGCATTTCACAGTTCAACCCTGAGCTTACATATATTCTTGCCTGGTATAACAAATAAACAGGGTACACAAGCACATATTTAACAAAACAGTTTCTGCTAATTGTGCAGGATGCTTTGTGAAACAGGATTTGAGACAGGATTTGTTCTGTGAAATAGTTCTCAAGACTTTGGAAAACTTCAAAATATTCTGGACACGTATTAAAATCACTCAATGTCTTCCAGATGCCGACTGCATGGCCATTGGCTGTTCTTTATCTGGAAAGAGGATTCCCTGGTTTGAAATACTCTCTCTGCTTTATTATCACTTTAAGTTTTACAAATGAATAATTAAAATGATTGCAATTTGCAAAGTAAATTATGCCATTAACGACTCAAGAATTAATAAGCAGAGAACAAAGGGAATAATATATTGCAAGGATGACAAGGGAAAAAAATAAATCTCCTGGCAATTCACCACTCTTAGGATTTTAATTTTGAGTTCTCCACTCCCAGCTATCCATTCTTATTGCACATCCATCAAACTCCTGATGAATATAAAGGACCACGGTATATCATGCCATAACATTGCAAGTTTAGAGAAATGAGAATCTAGCAGGTTTTAAGGAGACAGAAGAGAAATGTAGAAGATACTGGAGATGTGTTTGTTTCTCCAGTTTTCCATCATCTCTGGCATTCAGATCTCAATTTCAAAGTTTTTCAAAATCCTTTTTCATGACCAACAGATTCCTATGACTGACTTTAACAACTGACAAAGCTTTTAATAAAAATTCAACATGATTTATACCACATTTTATTCATACATTTTGGGATGCCTGTTTAATTTCAGCTCTTCATAAAAAGCATTTGTCTCCAGCCAAAGTCCCCCCCCCCCACATACACACTTCATGTTTATTATTTGCTTCTTAGTTTAAATAAGAAGTGGAAAGAAGAATAGGCCTTTTCACCATGAGCAAGCAGTTTATGCCATTTGAATAAATATTCCTAGGCTAACATCCTCAGACACTGCATAATGACTAGAGTCACTATTTCATGTTCTTTCCAGCAGTGACATATGGAATCTGAGATCTAGGCTAGCAAGGGTGAAGTATGATTGCAAGCAAAGGTTTAGAATGTGTGATATTTTTAAGAACTATTGGCCAGCATAATAGGGTTCGGTGACAGAAATTATTATGAATTTATGCTCAGAAGAAATGGATAGATGTTCTTCTCTTTTATTAGCCTTTTTTCTTCGATTTGACTCTTTATGATGTGTTATTTATTGGTTCAATTTATTTATTGGTTCAATTTATATGCTGCCCTACAATGCATTAAGCAATAGCCTTCATACTTTTGTATATACCTGCTTAGTAGGGCTTTCCCCCCACCACAAGCAATGTTCTTTTTTATATAAAGTCAGCTTATTGCCCCCACAAACCGGGTCCTCATTTTACCTACCTCGAAAGGATGGAAGGCTGAGTCAACCTTGAGATTTGAACTTGCAGGAATTGCAGGCAGCTGGTGCTATTTAACAGCACTTTAGTCTGCTGCGCTACCAAGGCAACTTCTGATGTTGCCTTGGTGGCGCAACTTCTTGCCTGGCATCTTAAAACTTCTTATGTAAGATGCTTAATAAACAGGTATGTGCATGGATAAGTTCATTTCCATGATTCAATATAAAATCACTCCACTGGGAACACAATTTTTTTCTCGTACAGGAAAGTATCTTCAGTGGCAGCATCCTCACTGTAGCATGAGTTAGGAACATGCTAGATGTTACGTCTTCTGAAAGCATCCAGAAGGGGAACAGTGGTTCTATTTTCATTCCAGAATTCCTTAGAACAATACCATTTTGCTAGACAAGTATGGGAAAACAAAATGGCAGCTGCCAACAGATAACCACTCAGTTGCCATAGTTGCATAGATGAAAAGAATGGGAAGTCAAACAAAAAAAATAGAGAGCAAAA